TACAACAGCCTCTCCCCAGCCTTAAGCAGAGCTAGGAAGTTTAAATGGCTTCTCACAGTTACACTCAGATTTTTCATGGTAGTAAATCTTTCTACTCAAACCTGATATTATGGGAAGTCAACCACTTAACTCTTGCCTCTTCCCATGCAAACCACTATGCATATCTCATACACATTCATGTCATACAATAATAAGGCTGTGAATGGGCTTACAATATAAATTAGGACTTTCTTAGAAGCAGTGCTCCAGGATACTGCTAAGTAGGTCCCCACCTTCCTGCCTCCCTTCTGTGGCCTAATTTTTCTGGGAGCCTCACCCACTCCCAGGCTCATTCCTTTGAAACATTTTCCTGACAAATGGTGGCTGAATAGTGTGGCTGATGATGTAGGACCTGGAGCACATTCCCTGGTGTTTATAAACCCAACCCTTCCCTGTGTTTCCTGAAAAGCCATTTTCCTGTTTATTAACATTCCCTAAAGGGAAGATTTAGCTAGAAAGACAATCCCGAAAATGTTGGGAAGATTAAGAAATCTTGCCCAGCCAACCTGGCCTAGGGGTTGAGACCTATGAAACAGGAGGTTATGGCTGGATTCTCGTCAGAGCACATGTCCTGGTTTCGGGTTGATCCCCAGTGGGAAGGTGTGCAGGAGGCAGCCAATCAAAGATTCTCTCTCAACATGGATATCTCTATCTTTCTCACTCTTCCTTCCTCTCTGAAATCAATAATAAAAAATATATAAAAACTTTAGGTTAAATTGAAGTTAAGTTTCTTGTGTTCTGTTCCTTTCCACCATTCCCGACATGTACTGCTGAGGGAAATACTGATTGCGAGATTCTCTCAGAATTCTGGTTGCTCTTCCCCAGAAAGTGGACTGAAAACATTGAAGTCTTCCTACGCATTGTAACCAAGCAAGGCAGTTTAATACTCTTCCCTTTTTTCCTCTCCCCAAGATTACCCCCCCCCCCCCCCCCCCCCCCCCCCCGAGGGTCCTGGATTCTTTAAAACACTGAAGTCATCCTCAGTAAGGAGGGTAGGCTCTTCACTTCCCCGACCCCTATAGTCGAAAAGGGCAGCACCCACCCTACCTGCATATCCTTCACCCGGCGTCTGAGAAAACTCCTGGGTCGAGGGTGTGTTACGCTTCGCTGGTGAGTCCATTGGAAGTCGAGTCACAGCCCCAAGTTCTTCCTGGATTCCGGCTGAAAAGAGCTCAAGCAGAGGTGAAGCTCAAAACTCCCAAATGGATACACAGTAGCCCAGAAAGAGCAGGATCAAACTGTGGGGAAAGAGCTAACCTAAATAACGCCGGCTAGCCAATCAAACAGCCTATTGGAATGTAAATGGCGGTGATTACAGGGACTCAGGTGAGTGAGAGTAGTCCTGTTCGTGGACTAATAGATAATTGGGCCATCTGCTCTCCATTAAAATAATCAAGCCCTCTTGGCCATTGGCTGGCAAATTTATCAGGAGCCTCTATGGGTGTGTCTCACTAAGGTTGCCTTAAAATTTAGCGTTGCTTTTTTTTTTCTTTTCAAATTCCACTTCCTGAGATGACTACTGGTTTGTAAGCCGGGCTTGGCGCATTCTAGAGCAGAGCAGATAAAGGCAGTTTCCCCCCATTTTCGGGTTAAACCCCAATTACGTTAACTGAGAAAGTTTCCTCGTCTGGCTCATCCTAAATCTTTGATGCTTCTAAAGCAGTGGTTCTCAACCTTCTGGCCCTTTAAATACAGTTCCTCATGTTGTGACCCAACCATAAAATTGTTTTCGTTGCTACTTCATAACTGGAATGTTGCTACTGTTATGAATCGTAATGTAAATATCTGATATGCAGGATGGTCTTAGGCGACCCCTGTGAAAGGGTCGTTCGACCGCCGAAGGGGTCGCGACCCACAGGTTGAGAAAACCGCTGTTCTAAGGGGAAGTCTGCTGGTGAGGGAAAGTAGAGAAGTGTCATAAACAGCTAATTAGCTTGATATTTTACGGATGTGTATTGTAGATTTACAGTTTCATTTTATAAGCTACACCTTTCAATGCAGCTAACATTGTTAAGCAACTGAGGTTAGTTAAATTTATAATTGCTGCCCTTCACCCCAATACTTGTACTGAATTCTAGCAAAGAGCACCAACATTAACTGCTGATTTTCTACAGGAAGTAGAACAAATCCCCAGCTGCTCCCATCTTCTTTTTCTCACTCCTCTTCAATGTACAACCTTCTCCAACCCCTTTTCAGCTGGAAACTATGAGAAGATACTCAAAAGCAATCTTGTTTGTTTTTAGTAAGAAGCCAGAGGTGAAATTATGACCCAGGATTTGTTTTTAATCTTTATTGTTGAAAATATTACATATGTCCCCTTTCTCCCCCATTGATCCTTCCAGCCTGTCCCCACCCCCTGCCCCAGGTCTTCACCACCCTTTTGTCTGTGTCCATGGGTTATACATACATACAGATGTGTGTGTGTGTGTATACACGTTTTTTGGTTGATCATTTCCCACCCATCCACCCTCCTTTGCCTTCCCTGTGAGGTTCCGCAGTCTGTTTAATCTTTTTTTAAAAAAGC